TACTTTAGCCCCCCACTTTGATAAACGCTCCGCGGGACCTGTGTATATATATACGCATATAACACTGATCTTTATGGTGTCTTTAACGTGACATATCTTCTTCTCCCCTTGCAAACGAGAAAGAAAACAAGGTCATTAAAAGGGATTAAGCGACAAAATATGATTGTGATTCAAATTGATGCGTATATTTGTTTGAATAAGCACTGCTATTCACCAGAATCTTCTTTGTAAAAACAACTTTTACAAATCTCAGCCATGCTTACTGAGTTGAGACGTTCCATTCAATTCAAAATACTCATTAAAAAATACACTTCTCCTAATCTGAAAGTGATCTTACAACACAGTGGCAGAATTGCATGGCTGAGATTTTTAAAAGTCGTTTTTACAAAGAAGATTCTGGTGAAAAGCATTGCTTATTCAAAAAAATCCTTGCATCATTTTGAAATACAATGATCATTTTGTCCCATGATCCTTTTATTAAATAACCTTGTTTTTTTTTTTTTTGCAGGGGGAGAAGAAGCTATGTCACGTAAAGAAATCATAAAGATCAGTTGTATTATGCGTATATTACATGTGATAACAGAAACAAATATGTGCTCTTACCCACGCCCCCACGCCCCCACCCCCCCCCCCCCCCCCGCTCATTCGCCGTTCGCCGGCTGGCTGATTCGCCGCTAAATATTTTCTCAAGAATTGGGCCCCCCTCTTGCCGCCGGCTGGATCCGCCCCTGGCCTATACTCATAAGTTCATCCGTTGAAAACGTGATGTCCATAATTGAAAACATAAAATCTCAGAATTATTTCATTACACGTTTGGTTTTACTTCGATATACTTGGAATAACCCTTTATCTAGAAGATAGATATAAAGATACCATGTCCTACCAATATTTGTTTGTGAATGTATAATCGAAGTTTGTTTTCTTTTAATAGAGATGGAGAACTGCGTCTACAGGTACAGTATTTATCCAGTGATTATATATATATATATATATATATATATGATAAAAACAGACAAAGCTAAATATATCACACTGCACCCCCAAACCTTCTGAGTGTTGCATGGTTTCATTTTAGATGTAAGCCATCAAAAAAGTGTATTTCCTTTGATTTTGTTTTTAATTTTCTAAAAGAAGAGATATCGTTCTCTATATATAAGCGAGAAGAAACGTGAGATGTTTATATTTAACTTGTTTGTACCAGGCGCGGATCCAGGGGGGCCAAGCGTGCCTTGCCCCCCCCCCCCGCAAACAAAAATAAAAAGGAGAGAGAGAGAAGGAAAAGAGGAGAGAAAGGGAAAAAAAGAAGAGGAAGAAGAAAGGAAAAGAGGGAAGAAGGAGATCGGGGGGGGGGGACTTGCCTCCCCCTTCCCCCCCCCCCCCCCCCAAATAAAAAAATAAAAGAGAAGGAAGGAAAGGGAAAGAAAAAAGATAAAGAGGAGATAAAGGGAAGGACAAAATAGGAATAAGAAAAGAAAAGAAGGGGGATATCAGTTGCAATTTTCCCGCCAACAAGGTGTAGATCAGAGGGGGGGGGGGGCACTGGCATACTGATAGGGGAGGGGGGGGTTGGAGAAATAGAATACAAACGTGGTTTATTTATAATTCCATAACGGTGGTTAACAAATAATGCTGAAATGACAAATTCCTAAATTTACAGCCAGGCAAGAAAATGCTTCTTGAGATGCCTACATATCAGGGCCCGCGGGACGGCGGGGATCGGGATCCTCGAGCCCCTCCCCCCACACTTTCTTTGAAAAAGTATATTAAAGAGAAATAGAAAGAAAGAGAGCGAGAAAGAAAAAATAGTTAACTGCCAGTGTCACATTATAATCGGGTATCAAAATATGCTCATCTGACCATGATTAAAATTAATGCCTAAAATCCTAAGGGCTCTGCCCCCTGGATTCCACCTAGGGCCCTAAGGCGGGCCCTTAGATGCTCATTTGACGGTCATTTAATGTCTAAAACCCCTGATTTCTGGGGGCTCTGCCCCCTGGACCCCACGCCAAATAGTATCCTGCTAGTGTCACAAATAATAAGGTATCAAAAATGCTCATCTGACCGTAATTAAACGCCTAAAACCCCTGAGCTTCTGGGGGATCTGCCCCCTGGACCCAACCAAGAGCCCTTAGGCGGGCCCCTCGATACTCATCTGACCGTAATTGAGTGCCTAAAACCCTTGAGATTCCGGGGCTCCGCCCCCTGAACCCCCAAGCCAATTAGTGACCTGCCAACAATTAGGTAACAATTAGGTATCAAAATAATGCTCATCTGACCGTAATTAAATGCCTAAACTCCTGAACTTCCGGGGCTCTGCCCCCTGGACCCCGTCTAGGGCGCTAAGGCGAACCCCTGAATGCTAATCTGACCGTAAATTAAAACCTTAAACCCCTGGGCTTCCGGGGCGGACAAGGTATCAACATATGTTCATCTGACAGCAGGCGCGTAGCCAGGGGGGGCGGTGGGGGTAGTCCCCCAATAAACGCCGGCCAAAAAAGAGAGGAGTGTAAAGGAAGAGAACGTAGGAAGAAAGGGCAGGGGGAACTTAATTCAGACGAGGATAATTTTCGGGAACGGTACAACGAATCGTCTTCTTTCTATAATAATTTAATGAAACGTCGAAGCTTCGCGCGGAAGGGGGGGGGGAATTGATTTAGACAAGGATTAAGAGTCGAGAACGGTATGACGAATCTTCCTCTTTCTCTAATGGTTTAATGAAAAGTAAAAGCTTCCGCGCTTCGCGCAGGTGGGGGAAACTAAATTATTTTCGAGAGCGGAACAACGAATCGTCTTTATTCTCTAAAAATTTAATGAAACGTCGAAGCGGGGGGGAAACTGAATTTAGACAAGGATTAAGAGTCGAGAACGGTACAACGAATCGTCTTCTTTCTTTAATGATTTAATGAAACGTTAAAGCTTCCGCGCTTCGCGTGGGAGGGGGAAACTGAATTTAGACAAGGATTAAAAGTCATAACGGTACAACGAATCGTCTTATTTCGCTAATGATTTAATGAAACGTAAAAGCTGTATTCAGACGAGGATTATTTTCGAGAACGGTACAACGAATCGTCTTTTTTTCTCTAATGATTTAATGAAATGTACAAGCTTCCGCGCTTCACGCGGGAGGGAGGAGGGGAAAACTGAATTCAGATGATGATTAAGAGTCGAGAACGGTACAACGAATCGTCTTCCTTCTCTAAAGATTTAATGAAACGTAAAAGCTTCCGAGCTTTGCGCGGGAGAGGGGAATGAATTAAGACGAGGATTAAGAGTAAAAAACTGTACAACGAATCGTCTTCTTTTTCTAATGATTTAATGAAACGTAAAAGCTTCCGCGCTTCGCGCGGGAGGGGAAAAATTTTTTCAGACGAGTAGGCACGTACGGAAGGGGGGGTTGACCCTCCCCCTTCGGTTTTTTTTATGTGTGTATTTTGGAGCAACCCCCCCCCCCTTTTCTGTGATTTTTTTTTTTTTAAATTTTTTTTTTTTTTTTTAAATATGCCAATGGCTGACCTAAAAAAGGTGACCTCACCCCCCCCCCAACGGAAAAAAATGTCAAATTTTCAAATTTCGACACCCCCCCCCCAAAAAAAAGTGTCCTCTCCCCCCACCCCCCCCCCCCCCCCCACGCTTATTTATCGGCTGGCTGAGTCGTTACGATTTTTTTTCGGACCAAAAAAAAAAGTGGGCCCCCCCCCCCTAAGAAATCCTGGATCCGCGCCTGGTTTGTACACCCATCTATGTTTGACCTCTTGACTGTTGTATTTTCTTTTCTTCTATTTATCATGTTTATGACCCAGTCTATATACTTATCTCCCATAAACATAAAAAAAAGAGCCTGACACGATTTGATATTTTTACCATCACTCAACAAACATATGCATTTTGTCAGCATAGTCATATCTTTTTGTCTGTTTCTTTGTTTGTTTATTTTTTAATATTTTCTGACAGAGTATATTGTTTTCTATCTTAATACAAGTTAGAAGCACAAAGAAATGGAAGGGTTTTAAAATTTTGCATTTTTTTTGTAGACCCTTCTTTGTACAAGCTGTAGATTGCATTGACGTTTGCTTGTTCCCTATGCGGCATTGGCTGCTGGTCTATTCTACCCCCTTCCATGTATAACAATAAGAAAGAGCCCATAAACCGTCAAAGCATTGTGATAAATATATTTTGAGTTCTAAATCCTCTATTAGTTTGGCCCTTGCATTATTCCTCCATTGAGGCAAGCCTTAAAAGACAGGTCGGGTGACTCTTTGTTGGGGTTTCGTGGTACAGACAAACAATAATTGCTCAAAAATTTGCTTTATTGTTATATTGCTATATACCTCTATATTTCAAAACCAAAAGCAGTTATGGATCTCGGTTTAATAAATATAAGGAGGCGCGATAGCTCAGTCGGTACAGCAGTGGTCTCGTAATCCGGTGACCTGGGTTCGAAACCAAGGCGATGCGCCTTTGGCAAGGCATTAATCCTCATTACCAGGTCCCTCTGAGAGGACCTAAAGCCGTCGGCTGTCTGGTTGCTTACTTACAAGCATTTATGCTTTCTTAGCAGTCAGGTAAAATAACCATCACCACCACCACCAATATTTAAAAGTTCTCATCACTTGATAACAGACCGGAAATATTATGTTTTTTGCTAATACATTTTGTATGTTCACACATTTTGTTTCCTGTGTCTTTGTATTCATGCTTGAATGCACAAAAAGTACACTCACGAATAACTCGCTTAGCTATTAAACTGTCGTAGCAGAGTCATTACGTGAGTTAAGATTCTATTATATAGTGCGTCCCAGAAAAAAACGAAACCGAGAATTATCGATGTTTTATCATAACTTAATCACAATCATATTTGATAAATCACACATATTTGGAAATCACTGTATTATGGTCATGCAACATTTAGGACTATAACTGAATACATCTCCCATTGTTAATCGTATCTCCTTCAATCAATCGTAACTTTAACAATAAAATATAGAAACGTATGATTAACTTCATTCTACAGCTAAAAGGAATGCACAATATTGGATTCATTTCATTAAAACAAAAAAAATTATATGTGTTACAGTCCCTAAACACCCATGGTGATTGCAACCTGACTCATCTAATATTAATTTATTTGATATTTTGTACAACTCGTCCCTGATACTAATATTGATTTTTGCCTTTATAAATTCTAAATTGCAATTGTTAAAAGGGGTTGAAAAAGTGAATGAGTATATACCTGTTGTAGATCCCGTAGAAGCTATTGCCACAGCTCTCATTGTATTCCTCTCAGGGAAGTACAGGACTATTAAATCAAAGGCACACACTGTGAAAAGCCCTGCCCCTATACCAGCCATTACACCAAACGTAGCAAACATTGGTATGAGACTAGAAAGGAATGACGTCATAAAGACTCCAGTCGATGTCGAAACGACGCCGGAGATGGCTACCAATCTATAGCCGAAGCGTTCCGAAGCGAGTTTGACGAACGGAGCAATCATGAGCGAAATACCGAGAGGGAGAGCGCCTACCCAACCTGGAATAAAGAAACGATATCGAAGTATTTATCATATCAAAACAGTTATTAAAGATCATGTATGATTATGCAAACTAGGAGTGACAACATGTCGGTAATTTTGGTCTGAACCCCCTCCCCCCCCCCCCCCCTGCCTCTTCCTTCATCAGAACTATAGCGCCACCTCTAAGATATATAGAGAGAGAGAGGGGGGGGGGGAAGAGAGAAGAGCTAGAGAGAGACAGAGAGAGAGGATATAGGAGTAGCAGAGAAGGATGGGATAAGATATTGGCTCTGGGATATCAGACTGGTAGAGCTACCAGTAAAAGACTAGGAGGGAAGTTGGTAAAGGGGGCGGGGGGTAAGCGGTAGGTAAGGGGCATACTGTCCGCCCTATGCTGGCGCTTTTGTCCTAATTATTTGTCCTTATAGTCGAAGGCCGTGCATTATCAGTGCTAATATGTTCAGGGAAACATTTTGTTTATTCAGTCCTTCTCTGGCGATAGCTATCTCGTAAAGTGACTCGCGTAAACTATGCTCCGCGGCACCCGAAAATAATAACTGGTAAATCCAAAGGTAATTGGGCAAAATTCATTTTATTTCAACCCATGTACGACACACAAGGACTAGCGTTTAAAGTCGCAGTATAGTTCCAATAGTTTCGAGTTGACAAGTTTGGGGCCTTGCCAGACCATTTACAATGAAGGGGGGGGGGGGGAGGAGGGGTTCATGGAACTTAATTTTTTTTACCGTACAAATCAGCCGAAAAACTTCAAAAAGAAAACCCCAAATTGACAAGTGGACAACTATCCTCTATAGTTACGCTTACTATACATTGAACTTTGCGTTTTGAAGTCATATTGCTCACAAAGGGGTACTTATATCACGCACCGAGTCCGGCTCGTAATACAAAAAAATCCGGCCCGTATTGACTTTACACACCGGACTTAATTAGGGGGGGGGGTGTTTTCAAAGTGAGGGAACATGCATACACCTACCCTAAATGAGTGGGGCCGGGGTCACAAGTCATAATAATAATAATAATCTTTAAAGTCCACTCCAAATTTTATTAAGTTAAACCGAAAATGGAAAAAAAAAATTGCCCAATTGATCGTGAGCCCGACAGCCACTGAGCAGCGCCAGATCGACGTTGCTCTATCCCCTATTGTTGAACGCCAAACAAGGTAGCAGTAACTCCCGTCTTTAACGTCTTTTGGTATGACGTGACCGGGGTTCGAACCCACGAGCTCCCGGTTGTGAGGCGGCGCTCTACTGACTGAGCCAACACACCGGTATGACAACTATACATGATAGAACAAAGGGGAAGAAATAAGTTGTGGGGGCGTCGACCCCCCCCCCCCCCCCGTGGTTCCGCGCGTGCTCTTGTACACGTCATGTGACTCCTGACTGAACTAAAGGTTGCACCATGAGCTAAGTCCAGCATTTTGTGTGCCAATATCTTAAAAAGAGAGCGCAATCGCCGAAATTTATTGCAATCGTATGTTAATTGATAATGTAGACATTCAAAGTTTCTCTTCGAATTCTGCGATTTTGTAAGAGCTACTTTTGTTTTAAGCGCTCATAATTTAAATAAGCGATAATATAAGTAGTCGTAATAGTAGCGTTTCAAAGTTTCAAAATTCAATCAAAATTGTCTAGGTTAGTGCAAATATCAAAATACTTCTTTGTTATTTAATGATTATTTTTAATGATTCTTAATGATTAATTTAATGTAATAGATCATTGAGTTTTAAATGGGGCCAAACTTGACTAGTTACATAACAATGTAAGAGAGAAAGAGAGGTTATCTCTAAAATGAAATGAAAGGACTCTTGAAAGTAAATAGCCCTTTCATTTCATTTAAGAAATAAACGCTAATCCATCCCTTGATATTTAAATTACGCTGCTCCTACTGTGTTCTTTTTTCAAACTCTCCCTGATCTATAAAGAGTGCTTTCTTTATTTGATCATCAACATAAACGAAATTTTCGAAGCGTGACTAGATTGATGTATGTAGAACAGGATTAAGATCCCATGCAACGCTTCGAAATGTAAAAGAAGTATAAGAAAAATAAAGTTGAGATTCGACCTTTAGCTTTAGAGGGCCGACCGGGACGCGTCATGACTGTTATGACCCCCCCCCTCTCCTCGGTTGATGTATAATAAAACAATGGTTAGAGATACCTGTCAATGTAGCACTGCTTTCAAATTCCTCCTGGAATGCGACAAAGAGTAGGTTGTAGTTAAATAAGAGTCCATTCAGCACGAAATTAAATAGAACCGTCGCGACGACCACCACGCATCCCCATCGGTTTCTTATCCATTGCCGTAGAGATTGGTGTGCTCTGGAGGAGACTGGTGGTTGGTATTCGATGGATCCAGACATCTTTATTTTTTCATGTCACACGTAATATGTCACAATAGACACAATGTTTTCCAGCAACTTTATACTCATCGAACCATGCAGCTGTTTATTTTACACCAATACTGCATGCTGGTGCAGTAAACACGCACGCGCATTATTCAGTTCGGTAATCAGTTCGGTAGATTAGTGGGGACGTATGGGTAACACTGAGTGTGGGGGCGGGGTGGGGGTGGGGGTATTAAAAGGACCTTACCCCCCCCCCCCCAACGGAGCAAAATGTCAATTTTTCAAATTTCGCGACCCCCTCCCCACCCCCCCAAATAAAAAAGTGTCCTCTTAACCCCCCCCCCCCCTCCCCCCGCTTATTCAGCGGCTGGCTGAGTCGTTGCGAAATTTTCGGCCCGATTTAAAAATGTAACCCCCCCCCCCCCCCCCCCCCCCCCCCTTGAAAAAAATCCTGCGTACGCGCCTGTCTACATCAATGAACCACTTCTTGTAATGGCCAAAATTAAATTGATTGAATCTTTGCGCAGTATTAAAACGTACGACCATTCGGTACAATGGTCTAAAAAAAACTGACTATTACTTACTGGCTCTATAGCTCCTAAGTCGATTTGACAACTAAAAGTCGTTACTTTCCCAATTTAGGGAAGTTCTAAATTAGTATTGTCTTTTAAATGCCGTTGGAATTTAACCTTTTTTAATTTTTTGGGCCTGCAAATGAGACATAGTACCTTTAATGTAGCTAATATCAAAGGACAAAAAAATGTAGACGGGAAGGTGAGACGGATATATATATATACACAGAGAGAGAGAGAGAGAGAGAGAGAGAGAGAGAGAGAGAGAGAGAGAGAGAGAGAGAGAGAGAGAGAATGAGAGAGAGGAAACGACCACTTCAACATCCATGCACCATTTCACTCGATAACAATATTTTTTTTTTTAATTCCCATATTGAATAATACCAGTGCCCCTCTAATGACGGGTCATTTAGTATACCAATATTTTAAAGCTGAAAGCTCATCAAACTTCAGGTTTCCGCTGTAGGCCCATATAACATGTTTTCTCATAACGCATTAAGCGTTCTTAATAGGCCTATATAACATTTATATACAATGCCACATTGATGCTCTTGAATATTGTTTGAAAAAATGATAGAAATAATTTAATAAATCACTATCAATATATTATCAACAGGGATTTCAGTCGATTGCATACCGAATGGACGACCTTTTAGACTATTTACCTTGGACAAAAATAGGGAAATTAATCGGCCGATCTATATATCCCCGCCCCTACCAACTATTCCTCCTGCTTGTTTGATAATAATAAACAAAAAATGGATGACAGTGCACCCCTCTGCAGGGGCGGATCCAGCCGGTGGCAGGGGAATGGGCCAAAGAGGGGGCCCAATTCGTGAGAAAATATTTAGCGGCGAAACAGCCAGCCGGTGAATAAGCGGGAGGGGGGGGGGTTAAAACAAATCTGCCCGGCCTATTCTTTGAAGCTAGGTTTGTTTCTTTATAAATGATGACTTTATAGGGCATATTTTGTAAGCGACATTGACAAATACAGGTAAAAGGGACATTTATCAATAGTAACATGAAGAACTTTGGAAAGGGGCACATATCATATTCTAAAAGAGGCACTCACACATTCGAAAATAATTTTTTCAGAAGGGAAACTGGGAATTAAAGCCTGCACTGCACTACTTATAGCTACTTGCAAAGAGCAAATTAAAAAAAAAGCCCAATGGATGACCATGATCCTCTTTTTCTTATGCTATTGAGAGCTTATTTGATGAGATAACCTTGCAGGGAGATCTAACCCCCCTGACCATTAGTGCGGTGGGACTTAGGGCACTCGTTATAGAAAGGAGCAGACTTGTCAAGTAAAAGGGGGTGCTTATCAGAGGTGAAAAGAGACAAATATAAAAAGAGGAAAGAGGCTCATATATTAAAAAAGAAAAGCGGCACTTATCAGAAAGAAAAATGGGAACTTATCAGAAAAAGGGACAGTTTTACCCGGGGAGTTTACAACGCAAAGTAAGAGCACTTGTGGGGGGGGGGGAATATTTGAGAAATGGGGGGGGGGGGTGGCGTCCTTCCCATCCAGGAATTTAAAATTACTTACACGACACTTCTTGAATCTACACTGTCGGTCATAATGGTGGAATATTTATTTTTACCCCAGTTTAGGGAAGGATTTAAAAAAAATATTTATTTCTAATAGATCTAGATAATGGCATACGTTATCAGATTTTATTGAATATTAATTTGCGAGTGTTTGTTTTGCGTGACTGCTTAATCATATGTGTGCTACTATGCTAATCAGCTAAGGGACCTACGTCCTTAAGTCATAATTGACAGTAATGAGGATAAATGCCTCACAAAAGGGCACTAATATATAGCTGATCGACACGATTTTTATCCTGGGGCCTCACAGTAACGAGGCCATTGCTTAGCCCCTGAATCATGACTGTACGCAGTGTTTGCTAGGGTACGCGGCCGCCCCCACAAATCCCCCAAAACGAAGAAAATGCAATAAATTGTCAAAAATTCATTGCATTTTTCCCGGCCCCAAACAGGAAAAATTCCTCTGTGTGGCCATGCCTTGAACCATAATGCATGGCCCTACCGAGGAATTTTCCTGTTGGGGGCCGGGGGAAAATGCAATGAATTTTTGACAATTTATTGAATTTTCTTCGTTTTGGGGGATTTGTGGAAAGGGCCGCGTACCCTAGCAAACACTGCGTACAGTCATGATTCAGGGGCTAAGCAATGGCCTCGTTACTGTGAGGCCCCAGGATAAAAATCGTGTCGATCAGCTATATATTAGTGCCCTTTTGTGAGGCATTAATCCTCATTACTGTCAATTATGGCTTAAGGACGTAGGTCCCTTAGCTGATTAGCATAGTAGCACAAATATGATTAAGCAGTCACTCAAAACAAACACTCGCAAATTAATATTCAATAAAATCTGATAACGTATGCCACTATCTAGATCGATTAGAAATAAATAATTTTTTTAAATCCTTCCCTAAACTGGGGTAAAAATAAATATTCCACCATTATGACCAACAGTGTACAAATAAAACTGCAACATATAAAATACATGCAAGAGGACACTATTTTTTTTATTTTTTTTGGGTCTCGAAATTTGAAAAATTGACATTTTTATTCGTTCGGGGGTAGGGGGGGGGGTAAGGTCACCTTTTTTAGGTCAGCCATGGGCATGATTTTTTTTTTATAATTAAAAAAAAAAAAAAAAAAAAAAAAAACCCAAGGGGGGGGGGTGGGGGTTTAGGAGGTTTTCCTAAAAAAATACACACATACAAATACCATAGGGGGGGTCAACCCCAAAGCCCACCCCCCCCCCCCCCCCCCCCCCCCCCCCTCCCCCCCCCCCCCCCCCCCTCCCCTGCGTACGCGCCAGTATGCAAGTATTTCAGATTAATATGTTATTAAAAACATGGTAGACCCGTTGACTATAAATATTCGTGCCACCGTACCTCTCTTTTTTGCAGTTAGGTGCATGCAGGCGCGATCCAGGGGGGGGCCGAGCGTGCCTTGGCCCCCCCCCCCCCCCCCCCCCCCCGCAAAAAAAAAAAAAAAAAAAAAGAGAGAGAGAGGAAAAGAAGGGAAAGAAGAGAGGAAGGGAAAAAAAAGAAGAGGAAGAAGAAAAGAAAAGAGGGAAGAAGGAGATCGGGGGGAGGACTTGCCTCCCCCTCCCCCCCCCTCCCCCCCACCCCCCCCCCCCCCCCAATCAAAAATAAAAGAGAAGGAAGGAAAGGGAAAGAAAAAAGATAAAGAGGAGATAAAGGGAAGGACAAAATAGGAAGAAGAAAAGAAAAGAAGGGGGATAACAGTTGCAATTTTCCCGCCAACAAGTTGTGGATCGAGGGGGGGGGGGGGCAAAAGACCCTAGCCTCCCCCCCCCCCCCCGCCCTCCCGTCCCCGCTAAAAAAAGAGAGAAGGAAGGAAAAGTAAAAGAGGAGAGCTAAAAGGGAACAAAAAGAGGAAGAAAAAAAGAAAAGGGAGAAAAGAAGCGGAGATCAGTTGCGGTTAATCCCGCCAACAATGTGTGGAGGGGTTGGGGACCAAAATTACCATGCCCCTCCCCCCCCCCCAGCAAACCTAAAAGAGAGATAAGGAAGGGAAGGGAAAGTGAAAAAGGAGAGAAAGCAAATTAGTGACCTGCCATTGTAACAATTAGGTATCAAAATAATGCTCATCTGACCGTAATTAAATGCCTAAACTCCTGAACTTCCGGGGCTCTGCCCCCTGGACTGGACCCCGTCTAGGGCGCTAAGGCGGACCCCTGACTGCTAATCTGACCGTAAATTAAAACCTTAAACCCCTGAGCTTCCGGGACGGACAAGGTATCAACATATGTTCATCTGACAACAGGCGCGTAGCCAGGGGGGGCGGTGGGGTGGTCCCTAATAAACGCCGGCCAAAAAAGAGAGGAGTGTAAAGGAAGAGGACGTAGGAAGAAAAGGGAATAGACAAAGTACATATTTGAAATTCAAACAAGGATTAAGAGTCGAGAACGGTACAACGAATCCTTTCTCTAATGAATTAATGAAACGTCAAAGCTTCCGCGCTATGCGCGGGGGAGGGCAGGGGAACTTAATTCAGACGAGGATAATTTTCGGGAACGGTACAACGAATCGTCTTCTTTCTATAATAATTTAATGAAACGTAAAAGCTTCCGCGCTTCGCGCGGGTGGGGGAAACTAAATTATTTCCGAGAGCGGAACAACGAATCGTCTTCATTCTCTAAAAATTTAATGAAACGTCGAAGCGGGGGGAAACTGAATTTAGACAAGGATTAAGAGTCGAGAACAGTACAACGAATCGTCTTCTTTCTTTAATGATTTAATGAAACGTAAAAGCTTCCGCGCTTCGCGTGGAAAGGGGCAAACTGAATTAAGACAAGGATTAAAAGTCATAACCAGGGCTCAAATTATTTTTTTGTCCACGGGGGCTCTTCCCCCGAAAAAAGAGCCCCCGTGAGCCTTCTCACGGGGGCTCTTTTATTACTGACGGGGGCTCTTTTTTATAAAAATATCCATTGAATTGGTACCTATGATACTCCTCAATTATATGCTATTTCATCATTATCATTTCAATCAGCATTTTCCCTCTTACAAACTTACAAGCTACATAGCTGTTAATGGCCTGTGTAATAATATATACGCATACAACACTGATCTTTATGATGTCTTTAACGTGACATATCTTCTTCTTTCCTTGCAAACGAAAAAGAAAACATGGTCATTAAAAGGGATTAAGCGACAAATAATGATTGTGATTCAAATTGATGCGAATATTTGTTTGAATAAGCACTGCTATTCACCCGAATCTTCTTTGTAAAAACAACTTTTACAAGTCTCAGCCATGCTTACTGAGTTGAGACGTTCCATTCAATTTAAAATACCCATCACATAATAACTTCTCCTAATCTCAAAGTGATCTTACAGCACAGTGGCAGAATTGCATGGCTGAGATTTGTAAAAGTCGTTTTTACAAAGAAGATTCTGGTGAAAAGCATTGCTTAAAAAAAAAAACCTTGCATCAATTTGAATCACAATGATTATTTGTCGCATGGTCCTTTTATTAAATAACCTTGTTTTCTGTTTTGTTTGCAGAGGGAGAAGAAGCTATGTCACGTTAAGAAATCATAAAGATCAGTTGTATTATGCGTATATACATGATACCAGAACAAATGTTGATTATCAGAATGTCATTTTGGAATACCTCTATACAAATACCACATTGTCTTTAGCCCGTATCAGTATTAGTATGATCCAATATAAAGCTATTATTCTTTATTTAATTCAGTATAATGCTTTTCCTCAAAAATAGTTTTGCTATTTTTTTAGGGTTGAGACGCTAAGAAATGGTTTCAAATGTACATTACACGAACCCTGAACCATTGCAAAATGATGGTGGTTCTCTCTCTCTCTCTTTATTTTAATCATGCATTATCAACTACATAATTATAAAGCAGCAACCAAAAACTGAGGGTTATCTGAGATAGGTGAAAGTAAGAGTTAAAAAGAAAGTCATGCTAAAACGGCGCTTCACTTACCCCGCCCCCTGAAAAAATAAAATAGATTAGTAGTCCTCCTCTCCAGAATCCCCTCCCCCCCCCCCCGCTTTAATATCACATTTTCACTTGGCAGCCCAAGGGGGCCGGGGGGGGGGGGGGGGGGTGGGAGGAGGGGTTAAACCCCCTACCCCCCCCCCCCCCCCCCCCCGCCGTAGATCTGCCCATGTTACCATATCATTCCACGACGTTTTGGTCTTCCTCTTCTCCTCAAAAGGGACTTTTAGATTTGCGTGGACGTGGACGTGGACGTGTTATGTCCTTTTAAGGCACTGACAATCACGTGACGTCCTTTTAAGCACTGGCAGTGCCTTAAAAGGAGGTCACACGTTGCAAATCTAAAAGTCCCTAATATTGATTTACTGGTCGAGGTTCATTATTTGCTGACAACGAAAAACTTCTCCAGGCCATGACCATGTTTCTGCCCTTGCCCGATCGCCTCCAGCTCCAGCAGACATGGCGCGGCAGCGTGCACACGCACCGCTACTAACGGCGCAGTAGGCCTATAACCACTGCTGACGGCGGCACTGCACTGCGAGCTGAATCGGTAATAATAGGCCTACTCATAAAACGAGAAATCTTGCACGCTAATCTTAGTTCCATTTCATTGGTCATTGGTTTGAAAATTGAAACTTAATATTGTGTTAAAGTTATAACAGAAAAGATTATCTTTATTTTATAATTCCACCGGGGCGATTTTTAATTTTGCAATCGCCCCCGTGAGCAACCTGACGGGGGCGATTTTGTAGCTCACGGGGGCGAATAGCCCACCGCCCCCGTGTATTTTGAGCGCGTAGTTATGACTCATAACGGTACAACGAATCGTCTTATTTCGCTAATGATTTAATGAAACGTAAAAGCTGTATTCAGACGAGGATTATTTTCGAGAACGGTACAACGAATCGTCTTCTTTCTCTAATGATTTAATGAAACGTACAAGCTTCCGCGCTTCGCGCGGGAGGGAGGAGGGGAAAACTGAATTTAGATGAGGATTAAGTGTCGAGAACGGTACAACGAATCGTCTTCTTTCTCTAATGATTTAATGAAACGTAAAAGCTTCCGAGCTTTGCGCGGGAGAGGGGATGAATTAAGACGAGGATTAAGAGTAAAAAACTGTACAACGAATCGTCTTCTTTTTCTAATGATTTAATGAAACGTAAAAGCTTCCGCGCTTCGCGCGGGAGGGGAAAAACTATTTTCAGACGAGTAGGCACGTACGGAAGGGGGGAGGGGGTAGGGGGTTGACCCTCCCCCCTTCGGTTTTTTATGTGTGTATTTTGGAGCACCCCCCCCCCCTTTCTGTGATTTTTTTTTTTTTTTTTTTTAATTTAAAAAAAATAAAAAAATAAGCCAACGGCTGACCTAAAAAAAGGTGACCTAACCCCCCCCCCCCCCCCAACGGAACAAAATGTCAAATTTTCAAATTTCGAGACCAAACACAAAAAAGTGTCCTCCCCCCCCCCCCCCCCCCGCTTATTTAGCGGCTGGCTGAGTCGTTACGATTTTTTTTCGGACCAAAAAAGTGGGCCCCCCCCCCCCCCCCCCCCCCCTAAGAAATCCTGGATCCGCGCCTGGGTGCATGGTCTCTTTCTATTATTATAATATGATGACGAAATTAAATTTAACTTGGATCTATGAAAATCTCACTTTTAATTTTGGTCGGCGTGCATGCCTCTCCATTTAAAAAAATATAAAAAAATAAGTAATTTTCCTTGGGTGATCGAAAGGGGGAGGGGCAACACGAATGCACACAACCCGAAGTGTTGGTTTTACGCATAGAGATATACTACTATCTCTATGGTTTTACGGCATCTTTACTTTAAGATTTGTCTTTTCTCACACACCAAACCCATAAAGATGCTGGACTGATCTGCTGATAAAATGTCTCTTAGAGCTTCCTTCAGCATCCAGAGGTAAAATTATGTTATTGCAATGATTATTATAACTTTCTGTATAATTGTATGTTTACCAATTTCTAATGAAATTCGTAACTTTGTCTGCATTCTCAAGAAAGGAATCGCAAAAGTGGTGTGTGTAGTCCCACACGTGCACGTATGTGTATGGCAATGCCAGCGATCAGGCATTGGGCCTGCACGGGATTGCGATTTGATGAGATTCGAGTATTAAATGCAGAAACACAACTAAGAAAACGCTTAAATCCCTATAACTGAATTCATTACGGCCTGACTTGATCTGCCACTTTATTTTGGTTCTAGAATAAATGAACCAGTCCATGATTAATATTTTGTACACTGACTTGACTAGATCTAGATCTAGGCCTAGTTCTAGAGGTCTACTTGAATCCGTTTAATCAGGGCTTGTAATAAATGGATTCCGCATCTAAGAGGGCCCTTTGAAGCAGTCCGTTGCACCGAGAGTCTTTTTTCCCCCTATCATAATCCCGTTAATCCCCCACCCGGACCGCACAGCTCGTAAATCTCACTCCCGAAACTGAGTGACATAGGGCTCGCGAAATGCATTGTTGGAAATACACATCGGCTGCTATCGACAAAAATGGCGGCGTACAGTAGGGAAGAGTATTTGGTAGGCGACGATTTAGACTTTCTGACTGATTTTGAGGAAGATTTTCTTGAGCCTGGTGTATGGGAAGTTGGAGACCAATACAAGTTATGCACGTGTGAAATTCCATCAACGGAAAATCTTATTCGTTGCAGCGAACCAGAATGTACGGTTAAATGGTTTCATCGTGAATGCGTAGGCCGCTCCATGTAAATAGGCAGCATTCACAACATACAGTACAAATGCACATAATCATCCCGATGCGGTTGATCGGCAAGTTTGACAGTAGACTCACAATTTTAATTTTTAAATTATTCTTTCTAACATCAGAAAGTTGAACAAATTGTATTTTAATGCTCTTTAGGTGTCATCAATCGTCACTATAGTACTGCCTTTGAATGAAATCAGTTGAGTTTTGTACAGTGGTGTTTGAAATGTTGAGAATCAATAGCACAACTTTCAATACACGGCCAGGGTAGAAATGCAGCTATGTGTGTTTCCACCAACAACATCCAGCATGTACAGCCCAGCGAGCACGGCGGCTTTCGCGTCGCCGGCGCCGGCCCGTACTCGGGGTGAAAAGTGGTGATGAATTGACAACTTCTAACCCTCATTAAACCAAATGCGCAATTATACAACACAGTTTCATTTAGTTATTTTAAGAGATAAACTTATGGACTACCTTCCTAGCTATGTAAAAATTTCGGAAACTTTCGGAAAATGTCAATAATTAGAAGAGAACGTGATGATGATGAGAAACTTGCATTCACTCTAACTCACGATTTCCTTGGTCGATTTCGCTGGTTCAGATGGCTACGTCTTCAGAAGAGTTATCCGAGCACAGCGAAAGCATTTGATAACCAATAGCAGGTTGCCTTGTGCCATAAGTTGTCGATTTTGTATTTTTGTCTGTTATAGCTATATACATCTTCAATGAGTATGACGTCATTTTCTCGGTGACTCGCATGGCTTCAAAGCCTTTTTTTTACGACCAAGTGTTTGGAGAGCTTAGGGAAGCAGGCCGCGTTGCGTAACACTTCGTAACATTTGGATCGCCAGAGGGCATCTGTGGTCTGATAAGGGCGGCTGTTGATGGATTTGATGGCTGAAGAGGGTTACATTACTTGTTGTTAAGCCAAGTTAATCTTGAATATCTTTCCCTCGGGAAATTCTTTCGAGACGCAATCTCCATAGTCTCACCTCCCTGGTTTAATGGTCCCTTTTCAGGAAATTATGCCATGGGTCAAGATCGACATCCATGAAGAAGTTCCCCTTACGAGTTCGTAATGACATGCACAGTTTTTCCGTTATAGAGTCTAATCATTTTGCCTTCGGCGTAGACTAGAAGGAATGAGATTTAGATGACGTCAACGGTCATACGCAACCCGGCTGCAAGATTTTCTTCATGGATGTCGATCTTGGCCCATAATTTCCTGAAAAGGGACCATTAAACGGAGTCAAGTAGTCAAGTTGGTAAGTGGAACCGAAGTAGTTAAGCATTTAGCTAATTTAGGACTTTAAATGCATCGGATACGCATCCGGTAAAATATCAAAATTAGGGATTAAGTTTGGCCGAGTTTTGTGTAACGTTTCTTTACACAAACGCGCGTCCACTACAGCGTATAGGGCTGTTCTGTCTCTAAAGAGAGAGCCGACCTTACCCAAATCAGAGGCTAACGAACGAAAGAGACAGAAAAATTCGGTATAACTTAGACCTAGATCTACTAGACTAGTCTAGAAATCTATTTAGATCTAGTCTTACTTACTTTGTCTTTCTTTGTTACTGACTGTAGGCCTACAGACTTAGCATTTTGATGCCCTACTCCCTAGCCCCAGACTCTAGATCTGTTTTTTAATTTTATATTGAGAAATTAATCATTCATGTTCTTTAAAATGTTGGGAGGGGGCGCATTGGCTGTTCATTAGGCACGTCTGCATTGGAAAAGTACACAAATGCAGTACATTCCAAAATCACACCCAAAAGGCAGAAGGAAAGGAAAAAGTATCAATAATGTCACTTTTTAGTGATCTTATTCTTAGCTTTCTACAGTCAGTGCATGCACGCTAGCTGCCCAACATCGCTAGATTCTGAGTGAGCTGAGAGAGGGGGCCAGAAACTGTGACTCAGACACACTGTGATTGTGAATCATAAACATGATAAAGGAAGGCAAAACAGGAGGTTACTTGACACATATCTGTCATGTGATATGTGCCACTGCACTTTTTCGGTGCCTGCACTCTGCAGTATCAGTTTCGTAGATTGGGTCTCACTAATTTTTTTTTTTTTTTTTTTAATTTTTTTTTTTTTTTTTACTTTACTTTTACTTTTAGCTCATTTTTGCAGATCCAGTTTCTCATTACTAGGTGGAACTTTGGAAGCATTTGATAGACTTTCATATTTTTGCCCTGATATTACATTTTTGGCAGCAGAATTAAGGTTTTTAGGATGCCTTCTGGTGAGTTTTCTGGAGTTTCATTGTTGTCTGTGAGAAACTGAGAATCAAATAAAATGTTTCCACCTATTATGAATAAACTTTGCATAAATCTGATTTACAAAATGTACATTACAAGCAGTTTGGACTGCAACATTTGAAGGAACAAGAGGCTAAAAAACCCATTGAAAATGTTTTATACATTATGTCGCAAGAAAATGAAATTTCTTAATGTTTATTCCACTAATACAGCTACACTTTGTATTTGATTACAGACTGTTTACAAGATACCTTCAATCTCAACTTGTGGTTCGGAATGGAAGACAGACATACTGCACTAACAGTAACATATTGACTCTCCATCATAGAGGTGTCTTCAATGATGTATTCCCTCCTCAAAGGTAATATAATAGTTTATGTTTTGAATAAGTATTGTAATATCTCAGACTATTTTAATTTACAAGTAAGCTTGCTGAAATTTCGAATGATGCAGGTTTACAATGATGTTAATGCTTTTGGTCTATTATGTATTTATTTTCAAAATTCATCTGATTATTGATCTAATCCTTCATCAACAAAGAGGAAAATGGAGAAGAAAAAAAAGGAAATGGTTCCAGTACAAAGCGACTGTGAAAGATACTTGAAAGATATGTCACAAAGTTGCCAGTATGTGTTACTGTTTGCTTGATTTAAATATGTAACAGTCATAACTTTCTTATTTCCATCCGCATTTCCCTCAAACTTTTACAGATCAGTTTCTTTCACTTTTGTACTTTTATTAGAGCCAACTTAATAAGCAGGGTGGACTTCCTGATCAATGAATGAATCCTCTATCTTTTATTCTACAGTGATGAATTGCCCAAGCTTCTGACATCCAGTCCTCAGAGTATCTATTGTGGTGTAGATCCTACAGCTGAGAGCCTTCACATTGGTAATCTTCTAGCTCTCATAGCACTTATACACTGCAAAGAGCAGGACATCAATGTATAGCATTGGTAAGTTGCATTAAAGATAAACTTAAGTTCTGGTAAAGAAAGAAAACAAATTCCCACAGAACCAAACTTACACTGAATGTTAAATATTACAAATAAATGTCATTTGCCAAACAATTTTGGTAGAAAATGTATACTGGCTGAGTAATGAGAATAGAATGATAAGGAAATGAAGTTCTTTCTGTGTACAGTGCTTGTTACTTTACAAAGACTGGGCCAAATTTTGTAATGATTTTGATGACTCCAGAACCTTGCAGTACACACCAATACTTTCATGCTACATGATCAAATTTTTCTGATCTATTCCACACCTTTTCGTTCACAATACAATTGCATGACCAGAACTCAACTTTATCTTTAAAGGGATAGTTGAGTTCTGTTTTCAGACCACAAATGCCTTCAAATTGCATGCTTATTGCTCTTATTCTTATCTATGACATATCTTGTGCCCTTTTGGGACCTAATATTGCTATGAAGGTAATTTTAGGCCCCAAAATGTGTAAAAATTTAGCCAAAACGATCATACATGTACCAATTCAGCTCCACTGTAAACAAAATATGGTGACCATTGACCGTTAGTTAATTAATCAGTTAATAATAACAATACATGGGCCGACTGGTTGTGCGTAATATAACCAACACGACAAAGCCAACAAAAAATCCAACATCGGCATCGGCTGTAATACAACGTAAAAGGTGCTATTTCGTTTTTTTAACAGCTTTTTCAAATTATTGAATATTTGTGGTTGTACAAAATATTAGATATGGTATATTTATGGATATTTCAACCGTCTCTGAACGGATTTTGATGAAACAAAGATGATTTTGTCGTTTAAATTGTATGTTCTTTCAAATTTGACACTCAATTTTTCATTATCTCACAATTTGTTTTGTGTAGCGCCCTCTGTAACAGAACTCAAGTATCCCTTTAAACTAAATTTGAAACAATACATATCTGTATATACATGTATCTGTGAAAGGGTCTTTGATCCATTAGTACCTCAAAATTTATGAATATTAATCGCAAATATGATTTCATTAGGCAAGTTTTAAGTTGTGCTAACAATCCTCACCTTCTTCTTGATACAGTTAGTTATCCGTTATATAAACCATCAAGCCATTTTGAATTTTCAAAGGAAATATATGCTATTCTTAAAGATTGGGTGACATCTGTAGTATTATTCAGACAACAAAAGGAGAATGGACACAAAGGGTAGTACGATTTGGTTATGTTTTACTTTCACTTCGTGTCGTCGTTTCAACGTTGCAAATATATAGTCTTGTATAAAGACGTTATTAGATATTCCCACATCTCCCCCCAAGCTTATTATCAACAGTTCAAGAGTTCTTATTGATTTCCAAATAGTTTCAAATCCAATAAAAATCCGAAATATAATCCTGTTTAAGAGTTCACGGATATTCTCCTTAATTGTGTTCTTCGAGTCCCGAGTCCATTCCAGTTTACTATTAAACCCAAATAAACACTGTCCAAACCTTTAAAGTCTTGTTCAGTTTCAGTTCCTGCAAAGGTAATCCCAATTTTGGTATTTAAGTTTAACCCATTACATGGACAGTCGCTTTGGTGGTTTCACGAGTCGTCCAGATCGCGTTCGCGTCTCTGTCGCAGCTGTTGGTGTAGAGGCTCCCTCAGGCTGCTTCCGGTTGATCTGCTGGTTACATTGGGAACCGGTTGAGTCGCTTTCATCAGAATCGTCAGGTCTCTCTGGATCATTGCTCATGGATGACTCCGGCACTCTGGTCTTGGTGGGTTGACCTTGGACAGCAATCAGTGCACGGCGATTACGACGTACTGTCCCATGTTCTGTCTGGACATGGTAGGACCGTGGTTGTTGCGCTTTCTGGGTGACTTTCCCGTAGCGAGACTGATCACGGATCCACACGGAATCTCCTGGTTGTAGCTCTGGAAGCTCACGTGAGTCATGACGTCTGTTGTAGGTCATCATTTGATCTGACCTGTACTTCTCCTCTTTCTCTCTCACAGTCGTCAGGTCCGGCTGTTGTACCCGTGGCAGCAGCATGTGCGGCAAAGTAGGAACCTGAGTCTGCAATCTCCTCCCCATGAGAAGTTCACAAGGAGCTAACCCGTTTTGGAGTGGTGACGCTCGATAGCTGAGAAGGGCTAACTGGATGTCGTCGTTCTTCTTCAGCAACGCTTTCACAGTGCGAACTCCTCTTTCAGCCTCACCCCTAGCTTGTGGGTATCTTGGAGAGCTGGTTGTATGGACGAATCCATACTCTTCAGCAAGCTTTCTGAAGTTCTCGTTGGCGAACTGTGGACCATTGTCTGAAACCACAAGGTCTGGAATCCCATGGACTGCAAAGATCTCCTTCAGCGAAGAAATCACTGCCATTGTTGACTGACCTTGGAGTTGTTTGACCTCAATCCACCTCGAGTAGTAGTCAACTACTATCAGGAACGATTTCCCTTTGAGTTCGAACAGGTCCATTCCAAGACGCTCCCATGGCCTTGAAGGAAAGGATGAGCTCATCAAAGGCTCGCGGACCTCTTGGCGATGGATAGCACAGGTCAAGCAGCTTGAAATCATTTCCTCCAATGATTTTGATAGACCTGGCCACCACACTGAATCTCTGGCTCTGGCCCTGCATTTGGTGATTCCCAGATGTCCTTGATGTAGCCTCTCAAGGATATCAAGTCGCAGAGCTCTCGGAATGACTATTCTCTCGTCGTAGATAAGCAAGTCCTCTACCACACTCAGGTGTCCTCTCTGCTCATAGTAGTGTTTGAGGATCGGGTTATGTGGCATGTAGTCTGGCCATCCTTGAACGCAGTAGTCTCTGATTTTTGCACATACTTCATCTGCTTTTTGTGCATTTCTGATTTCCTCAAATCTCTGCATTGTCACTGGGAGGTTGATGGCTGATGTTGATGCATATGATTCAACCTCATCTATGAAGTTGACATCATCCATTCCTGGCCTCTCTACTGGCGCTCGTGACAAGGCGTCAGCGGATGTCTGCTGTTTTCCTGGAACATACAATGTCTCTGCATCAAATCTCATCATTCTCATTCTGAAGCGTTGGAGTCGTGGAGGCATTTTCACAAGTTCTTTCGAGTTTAGAAGTGTGACCAATGGCTTGTGGTCAGTTTCCACCTCGAAATGAAGACCAAGTACATACTCCGAGAACCTCTCGCACGCCCAAGTAGCTGCCAGTGCCTCTTTTTCAATCACTGCATACCTCTGCTCAGTCTCGGTAAGCGATCGAGATGCATAGCACACTGGTCTACGATTTCCATCAGTCTGCACTTGATACAGGATTGCACCCATTCCAGTCCCGGATGCATCTGCTGCAATGACTGTTGGCAGTTCTGGATCATAATGAGCTAAGACTGCTGTCGAGACCATCATCTCTTTGATCTGTGTGAAAGATCTCTGCTGCGCTTCTCCCCAACACCACACATTGTCTTTCTTCAGGAGTTGACGAAGGGGCTCGTTGATCTCAGCTAATCCTGGGAGAAACTTTCCCACCTGGTTCACCATTCCCATGAACCTCTGTAGCTCTTTCACGCTTCGAGGAACTGGAAAATCTCGAATAGCTCTTGTTTTGCTCGGATCGACCTTGACACCAGTGTCGTCGATGAAGTGCCCTAAGAACTTCACACTCTGTTTGGAGAATTCACACTTTCCCTGATTTAGTGTGATACCTGCTTCCTGCAGACGTTGTAGAACAGCTCGTACTCTGATGTCATGTTCTGTTTGTGTTGCACCATGGACTAGCACATCATCCATGTGACAAATCACGCCGTCAAGTCCTTCGAGGATAGTGGACATCGCTCTCTGGAAGACTTCTGGCGCTGACGTTATCCCGAACGGCAATCGGTTGAAGCAAAATCTCCCAAATGGAGTGACAAAGGTTGTCAGTAGCTTTGACTCATCCTCCAATGGAATTTGCCAAAACCCGCTGTTGGCGTCCAGTTTTGTGAAGATTGTGCTCTTTCCCAGTTTTGCTAGACTTTCATCGACTGAAGACATCGGATGAATCTCTCGTTCAACTGCCTTGTTGAGAGATGTAAGGTCTACACAAATTCTCACCGAACCACTGGGCTTCAACACTGGAACCATCCCCGAACACCACTTTGTCGGCTCAGTCACTTTTGAGATCACATTTTGCTCCAACATGGACTCTAGTTCTTTCTTCACCTTCGGTAGAAGCGGATGAGGAACTTTCCTGGCTGTATACAGGCACATCGGCTTGGCATCTGAAGTTAACGTGATGTGGTATGCTGTCTTCAGTTTCCCCAAACCAGTGAAAAGTTGAGGGAACTCAGCCTTGAAGTTTGCAGTTTCATCATCACAAGAATCGACTTCCTCCACTCTGCGGACTAGATTCAAGGTTCTACACGCTTTCCTACTCAGCAATGAAGACTCCTGATCTTTGACCACATAGAGAGTCTCCTTGATCTGTTTATCTCTATGCCTGAGAGTTGATGTCATTTGTCCTATTACAGTCAGGACTGTACTTCCTGGACCACGTAACCTCTTGGTTGTTGGTCTCATGATGTGTTTATTCAGCCATGGAGTGGAATCAGACAACACAGTAACGGCTGCTCCTGTGTCTAACTTGAAGTGTGTTTCATTCCCATCAACGAGGATCGATGAACTCCAGTACGTCTGATCGTTCTCGCTGACTTCACCAAGGAAGGGGACATCAATGTCATCGAAATCATCTACTTCGCTGACTCGAGCTTTCCATTTTAGCTTTGCTGCCTCTTGTTTTCCCTGTTCTGGTTGTTTGGCTTGACACACAGACTGGAAGTGGCCCATCTTTCCACATTGATGGCACTTTGCATCTTTTGCGGGACAGCTGGCACGTGCATGATTCTGCCTTCCACACCACTTACAGTTACCCTGCGGAGTTTGAGATGTTTTCTTCGAGTACGTTCCCTTGCTCTTAGGCCTTACGTAGTTTACGGCCGAGTTAGGGCTCTCACTCTCTGCACCTCCCCTCACAACAGACTTGTTTTGTTTCCGGGCTTCTGACTGTCTACTCAATTGAACTGCTTTTGAGAGAGTTAGGTCTTCTCTAGACTGTAGTTGATCAGATAGGGAGTCATCAAGCACCCCAACTACAATTCTGTCTCTTATCAAGCCCTCCTTAAGTCTATCGTAGTCACAGTCCTCTGCTAGCCTGTACAAATCATTGATAAATGTGTCCACACTTTCTCCCGGGCGTTGTGTTCGTTTGTTGAATTTTGCCCTTTCAACAATAATGTTTTTCCGTACATTGAAATACTTCTTCAATGTTGCGATCACGTCATCATACTTTGCTGTCTCCTCTTTCACATTGAGAGACACGATAATATCATCGGCACATTCACCCATAGCATAGAGTAGCGTACTAACCTGCTCACTGTCTGGCTTGGATGCGAGGCCCGATGCGACGCGATATCTCTCGAACCGCCGTGACCATTTTGGCCATTGTTCTGCTTGATTTAAGCCTGCAACTTTATCAAAGCTTTCTGGCAATGGTAGACGAGAACTTTCCATGGTTCTTCACTTATACCGCTGCCACCATGTAGTATTATTCAGACAACAAAAGGAGAATGGACACAAAGGGTAGTACGATTTGGTTATGTTTTACTTTCACTTCGTGTCGTCGTTTCAACGTTGCAAATATATAGTCTTGTATAAAGACGTTATTAGATATTCCCACAACATCCAAATATAATTTGATTTCTGTTGATGTGCAGGGCTGCATACAACTCATATTTTGTTATTAAAACATCTAAACATATTTCGTAAATTGTTTAATATTTTTTCAATTTAATTTTCTCAGACCTGCTAAGCTCCACACTAAAAAAATTGCTTCAGATCTCATTCATCTTGTGACATCATAATCATTAGTGAGCTAACAAGAGACAGTGGTATTTGGATGTCACCCGACCTTTAAATGTGCAGGGTATTGTAAACGGCCCTATTAAAGGCATTATCAAAGGTCCATATTAAACAGTGCCACCTATGCTGTGAAAATAATTGATCCTATTGATTTCTTGACATCATTAATTTATATCAGCAAAAGATTGAAGACATATAGATGCCATAGGCATCACTCTTAAAAATAGAAATAATGTGTTTTATATTGAATGTACTGGTACTAGATTGGTGGAGCCACTGCTTTGATTGGTGACCCCAGTGGCAAATCAACAGAAAGGGAATCATTACATCCAGACCTGGTAGAAAGGAACGCTGCTTCCATTCACCAGTCTCTTCAGCGAATCTTCACTAATCATGAGAGACTTTTCTGGAAACGCGATAAGACACTGCCAGATATAAGGTAGAAATATCTCTGTCTATCTAAAGTAAAAAATATAGCCACATAGAAGTTGTGAAAGTTATTCGATGGTAAAGGGAAAGATATGAACCTGATTCTGATTATTGAACACTAAAAAGAAAATTACAAAACATTTATCCTGTGAGTGTATACTTAGCTTGTAAAAATAATTACCCCAGTAGTGGTTTTTTAAACTAATGATAATAATTTAGAGTATTGATAATGCACTGAATCCATCTGACTAATATGCTCAAGCCTCAAAAGTAAAGTAAGAATATTAAAATATACCGTACATATATTCAAATATTCTGTATCATTCCTGTATCAGTCCTGTGTCATTCCTGTGTCATTCCCTGTATTAGCGCTTAGAGACTGTTGGTAAGCACTTTATAAGTACCGTTTTTATTTACTCATTGTTTATTTATCAAGATTTTTGTCAATGTTTTGTTTTTCAGAATAATGAATAACCAGGATTGGTATAAATCAGAGAACCTGGTGCAGTTCTTAGGGACGTACGGTCGATTCTTTAGGATGGGTTCTATGCTGTCAAGACAGAGGTAAGCTAAATCTAATGAGATAAAAATTCAACCTTAAAGACATGCAAGATATAATTGTATTCTGTTTTGAAAAAATTGGAAATTAAATTTTGCAGAGCACTTCACACTTTTGTGGCTTTGATATTAAATCTTCTCTTTTTTTATTTAGTGATGCATCATTAACTTCATATACATGAAGGATGCTCTATTGCCCTTATTTAAGAAGACTGCTTATATCAGTGATAATTGATGTCCTGGGGCCTGTTCCTCAAAACCGTCTAACTTCTTGACTTTCCCTTTGAAGCATGTGTTATAGAATTAATACACGTTTTAATGGGATAGTCAAGAAGTTAGACTTATGACGGTTTTGAGGAACGGGCCCCAGTCCTGTAATAATAGAAATGTATGTTTCAAAAGTGTGCCAGTATTTGTTGAAATAATTGATTGTAACTTGGTATTGTTTCCCTTTCACAAAAAGAGTATTTATCTCTCCTTAACATCATTTTCACTTTTCCAGCGTCCAAACAAGATTGAACAGCCCTGAGGGAATGAGTTTCTCTGAGTTCACCTATCAAATATTTCAGGCCTATGACTTCTTGCACTTACATGAGCAGTATGGCTGTAACATACAGGTAAAAGCAATTCAAGTGTTCAGGGCCTGTTGCACACAATTTACCATTGATTGTAACTTTGCCATCAATGGTAACTACCATGGAAACCTTGATTTTGATTGGCTGTTAAGCCCTGTTACCATGGTAGTTGCCGTTGATGGCAAAGTTACCATCAATGGTAAGTTTTGTGCAACAGGGTCCTGTTCAAAGATGCTTCATCCTCAAGTTGTCTTATTAAACAAAATGTGCAGCTCAATGATATATCAGGGTTTTCTCTTCTTGTAGAAAGAAACAAAAATTTAAAATGTCACAATTTAAAGATATTGTTTTCATATCTGTGTTTCAAAAATATGATTAAACATATGAATCCTCTAGGAAACTGTATGAAACATCAGAATTCACACAATAAGAATCTTGATTTTGAGAAAAGTTGTCTTCTGAATATAAAATGTTGTTGTTGTTGAGATTTTTTGGAAATCTTGATATGCAGACTACTATCTCTGTTTATAAGAAAAATATACCAGACTTATGCAAACTAGATTCCAGCCTTAGATATCTTGGATGAAGTCACCCAAGAAAATATTCCAGACTTAAAAACAACACTAAGACCATCATTGTCACAATGTCTTCTATTGCTTTCTAAGTAGCTTCTATCAAACAGTGCATGACTGATCAAACTATACTATTGTGTCTTATTAACAGATAGGAGGAACTGATCAATTAGGTAATATCATGTCTGGTCATGATCTCATCAGAAGAACAGCTGGTAATGAGGTTTATGGTAAGTAGTCCTTATATTGAAAGGGTGTGGGATTAGGATAATATTATATGTTTGTGTAGCAAACAGTATGTTTGACAAAATATTTTGTATGAATCTTTCACTGTTTTGTTTGTTTAATTTGTCTCTATTTATTTGATTCAACTTGTATATGAGGATGACTTGTCCTTTAAGCCTTCAAGGCTGCCATCTGTACCTGTAAGATTCCAACCTACCTTTATCAGAGGTTTTATTGATTTAGTAAAAAAAAAAAAAAAAAAAAAGGATAATCAATCTCGAAGTTATTATATTGAAGTTTAAAATCTGTAGATGGCCTCAATATCACATTTCTTTTTGTTCATACATGGACATGTATTCCATTGTCTTCATTTGACCCCAGAATTCTGTAAGACTTATTAATGTTTATTTATCTTCCAGGTCTGACTATCCCATTAGTGACGAGTGCAACTGGAGACAAGCTTGGTAAAACAGCTGGTAATGCAGTCTGGATTAACAGAGATAAAACCTCAGAGTTTGACCTTTATCAGGTAAGGGTACATTACATTGCAATTAATAGTAACATGTGGAATATTAAATATATCAAAGGTGAAGAGAATACATCATCCTGTGCAGAAATTCAGAACTGATTTGATAAATGGATTTTGATTTTTAATTTTTAATGATATTTCATTTCCAGGAACATAAACAAGTATAACAATTACAAAGAATACAAGAAAACGAATAACAATAATTACATCAACTAATGCCTTGGGATTACCAAAAGAAACTGAGTTTCTGAAGGAGACTCTCTTCGTCAGTTGATGGTATAATACATAACTATACACAAATAAACTTAAATATACATAATTATATAAGATATATATAATTCAATACTGAAAAGATGGAAAAGTGTCATCTTATTGAGGAAATACAATATACATGTAATCCTTAAATACTGTATCAAAAAGAATTTCCATTTTCGGTTTAACTTAATAAAATTTGGGGTGGACTTTAAAAGATTATTATTATTATTATTATTATTATTATTATTATCTTTTGGATATAGTCTGTGATGCCAACCAGTATGATTTAATCGTATTTAGTACGATAATAAGAGTGGAATAAAATTTTGATGAAAGAGCAAACATTTTACTTGACTGTACGTACCAGTATCACATTTTTCTGAAATTCTACTGGCCCAGGGCCAACCGGCCATTGGTAGTGTAGAGTTTTCGTGAAAATCTGATTTTTCTCTCCAAAATCTGATTTTTTAGGATACTCGGTCTGTTTTTGTGTGTTAAGAGGTTGGCATCTCTGTATAGATCAATTTCAGAATATTGCTTTCTTGAAGTCTCCTGTAAATTGACAGACTAGAAAACCAAATGTTAATGTAGCTGGTGACAGGTCATCAATATAACTTTTCTTTTCAATATTTTCCATCACTCCACTTGGAAAGAATTAATACCTGCTTTTTGCTAATTTTTTATCAAAAAACCAATGAAACTTGACCGACAGAAATGTGTACAGTTCACAGTTCTGTAACTTTATAAACAGCAGCACTACTTACAAGAAGAGCTGTAGATGTAATGATATTTTGTAAAGACTATCTTAATTGTATTTGTATTTTCTAGTATTTCATCAGGATGCATGATAATGATGTGGAGAAGTCTCTGAAGCTCTTCACATTCCTGCCTCTACAAGACATCGATGCAGTAGTCAGGAAACACAAGGTGATTGTCACATTCATTGTTTTATAATGTATGACAAGCAAAGTGCACTCTTTTATTCTGATGGAATATAATTGCTCACTTGATGATACTTGGATCTTATAATGAATATCATGTTGTAATTTTAATTTGCTCAGTTTAAAAGTAATACCTTGAACTATTACTTCACTCACTGAGGTGACAGTTACTACTGGTACATACATTTTTCTTTCAAACATGCTTTCAAAGTAAATGAAAGACCCAAATTCACAAAATAGGTTTTTCTTGGCCCATGGTTTAAACTTGATTGGTTTGATGGTTTGTTTTACCTGACTGCTATTAAAGAAAGCATGGATATGCTTGTAAGTAAGGGACCAGAGGACCGACTGCTTTAAGTCCTCTCCAAGGGACTTGGTAATGACTTGGTTTTAAACCTGGGTCCTGGTGGTAACGAGACTACTGCTCTACCACTTACTCATCGCACCTCCTTAGTGTTATACAGAACCCAGTGCTTGGATGTAATCATAAAAAGGTACATGTAGGTTGATTTATAAAGAGTGATGTCACTCATATTTTATTCCTAATTATATTTCTTTTGTAGGCCAAGCCAGAGAAACGAAAGGCTCAGAGGTTGCTAGCTGAGCAAGTGCTCCTATTAGTTCATGGGGGTAAGTCATTTTTCATCCAAGATACATTGAGATATTACAAGATACATTTAAATGATGTGAAAAACATGACAGATAGAAAGAATGAAATAAAACAAAAAATGTGGTGCTTTGATAGGTGTGATGCCTTTTCTCATGGGAAAAAAAAGCTACTGATAAAACTGCAGCACTTTATTCTAGTGGAGTGACCAGAGAAAGACTTTGATATTAGGAGAATGATGAGTATGAAAGAAGAAAATAATTAGAATGCAAGTGGTTTTTGGCTTCTAGCCATAATACTGTACTCTACATTTGGTAGATGCATCATATACTTCTGAATTATATATGTATCACCATTTTTCTTCAAACGTTTTCTGTAGAGGAAGGATTAGAGAAGGCCCGACGTTTGACTGAAGCCTTGTACAGCTCTGATCCCGGTGCCTTAGAGAGATTAAGCGTAGAGGAAGTGAGCCAGCTCTTCAGTGGAGGAGGCTTTGTAGAGATAATGCTAGAACCTGGTCTTACTGTCTATCAGGTTGCTGTAGCTGCAGGAGCTCTACCAAAAGGTTAGTATATTATCATCTCTTATTTTTATGTCAATACGGAAACCCAGGGCAATAAATTGCTGGACTGCTAGATTTATAGGTTTATATTATTTGGACAAGAGCTTTGAATGTTAGGCTACCTAGGAGAAGTTTCAATTACTGTCAAGAATTGCAAGATCGAGCGTGCCATCCTTATTTACTGGGTGCAAGCCTAAACATTCTTTACAACAATTGAACCTTCTCCAGGAAGCCTAACATTCAAAGCTATAGTCCTAATGGTGGACCGATGAATGTTAATAAGGCAGAATGAATCAGGAGATACATTAGGTGTTTGTTTCCAGTTCATCGTGACTGTGCCATGGACCAGTGATGGCCTGGTGGTAGAGTCGCTGCCCGGCAAGCAGTAGATGGCAGGTTCAAATCCCGCTGGTTCAATTTTTTCTGACTTTTTTTAAATTACAAGATCAAGCATGCAATCTTTAGTTCTTGGGTGCAAGCCAAAAATCATTCTTTGTTTGTTTGTTGTAGATCGAGGAGTAGGAATCATAGAAGATGGTGGTGTTTATGTCAATAAACAGAGAGTTACCAATCCACATGAAGTTCTGCAGAAAGGTCTTCATATTCTTAGTAATAATGTCACATTACTCAGAATAGGTAAGCTTAATATCTTTCCTTTTTAAGATCTTAATTCTTAAAATTTATTTATTGTAATATTTTTATGGTAAACCTTATGTACAAAGTTTGTGATAGAATGTATATCCATGATTGGACTATCAACAGCCTGATATCTTAAGATTTTTATCTAAAGAGTAGTTCTTCTGTTATAAAGTTGAGAAGTTGATAATCTCAATGTAAGATGTTAGATCGTCATTTCAATTTCTTTAATTTGTCATCCTTCTTGGGAATGACTCTGACTGGTCTGTGTAAAATGAAAAAACTGAAAACATGGGTCTATGTAGTACCATAAGGAAAGTAAAAATTTAATATTCTGCAAGCTATGATACAAGAGATTTTTTACCGGATTCATGAGCAGTAACCAGTTACTTGTGTTGTGCTGTATTTTAGGATTGTCATGAAGAAAACTCTGTTATGACAGATTGTCTCGATGATGAATATATCAGGCATGTAATTGTTTCTGGATTTACAGCCCGTAGATAATGTTCTGTTCATAATAAAATCTCAAAATAACTAAAAAAGGGAGAATAGTTTACTTCAATTCGGACAGATGATGCTGACCTCTATTGTGCTCTTAGGAATTTCAAAGCTTATTGAAGAGAACTTTACCTCAACCAACACTGTATTAAAACGTAATTGGCTTGTTTTTTTGTACTTTCATTTCCTTATTTCTTCTTTTCACCTTATCCCACTACAGGCAAGAAGAACTACACACTAATCAAATGGGTCTGATGGCCAGGGTGTCTGATATCAAACTTCTCAGTAGTTCTGAAAGGTTAACATCTCCCTATAAGAGGCAGAGGTCAAAGGTCATTCATGTCATCGGATGACCACAGAATCACTGTAACACAGAGCAATTATACTGTACAGTGTAATGAAAATATCTTTCTTGAATCATTCATGATGGCCATTTTTGTGGCAAGAAACTTTTCTGATTTGCAAACTTTCAGTGCAGTGGAACCTATATATTATTGAAACATGGGAAATGACCTTATTTTGAAACCTTGTTATCTCAGTACTGAAAGCAAGAGAGAGTGAAGTGGGACCAGCAACATTAGATTGTTGAAAGTGTTCTTCATAGAGAGGTTCAACATTTTTGCAACCTAAAACTATGTGAACCTACACCAAAATGTCACTAAAAGTAAATTGGTTTTACCATAATGACATATATGGGATACTATGAGATACTAAACTGTTAGTTTAGATAGCTCTCATAGCTACAACGTTGTGATTGGTCCACAGCTCATCATGTGATAATGACTGCGAGGATCGTAATTAGCACATTTCCAGTGATTTCTTGACGTTATATTGACCCCCTGTTCAAATGAGTATGTTTTTCATCATACCTTATCCAAGCGGCCCAGCACGCATTGTTTGCATTGTGTTAGACGCGGAAGGCTGAAAGGCATGAGATCACAACTATCCTTAAAGGGAAAGTCCACCCCCAAAATAAGTTTGTTTCGATAGAGGCAGAATAATAAGAAAATCAGGTGAGTGAAAGTTTGAGCAAATTCTGAATGAAAATAAGAAAGTTATGAATTATTGAAGTTGTGATCAATCAAATACAAATTGGCAACTCTGTGACTTATTATACGAGCTCTCCTTCATTTGCTTTGTGCATAATATTCCATAAAATCATGTTTTCTTCGTTATTGATGATGGAATATATATTTGTTCCTTGCAGGGGGAGTATAGAAACATATTTGCAATTATTATATTTAGGGTGCATGTACGGTTGAAATTTTTCTTGAGGGAAAATGAAAATTTTAGATTTTTTTAGTACTGAGCAAATGGAAGTTGAGCTCGCATGATACGTCATAGAGTTGCCAATTTGTGTTTGATTGATCACAACTTCAAAAATCCTAACTTCCTTATTTTTAATCGGAAGTTGCTCAAACTTTCACTGACTTGTTTCTCTCATTTTTCTACTCCTATTAAAACTAACTTAATTTCAGGGTGGACTTTCCCTTTAATTTGTGTAACAAATATTACATTCATTTAGTATAACACATATTACCTCCAAGTTCATAATTCCCATCATACCGTTATTCCGACCTTGGTGAAATATAACATCACTCATGAATTTCTTACATTGTCGGTTCCTATATTTGTTATACTGAGCGCTGGAGCTTGCAATATTTGTATAATATCATTGACATACGTTTTCATGCAGAGTGTAGACCTCCCTGTATTAGGTTTGTGCAATGTGTGTACATGATAAATGAGAATGCTTCTCATCAAACATTTCCTCCTGTACCATATTCCTCAGTTTCAGATTTAAAGAGGAATAATTTCTCCTTTCATCCCTAGAGTATCCCTTAGTACAGTTTTGCTTGTAATGAGTACGAGTATGTGAGATGCTTATATTATTTCATATAGCAAAGAAGATATAGAATAGTGGTACTGGCATGCAAATTTATGAGCTTATAGTGTGATATACATGTAAAGGTTTTTACTAGTGTGAGATTATAGTGCTGTGTATACAAGGTTAAATGCCTATGCAATGATTTATTGCATATTTACGTTCATGCCGTTATCAGAAGGTGCTTTCTTTGTATTCAGCTTCCATTTGGACTTAAGAGCATTTTAATATATGAATGTTTTGCAAATAAATGTACAGATACATATGGAAGATTGTTGAAATATGAAGTAATTGAAAAGCCATATGTGGCCATATCCACTCACTGAAAGTAATGATCTTGTGTCTCAACATACTTGCAAGTCATTACAAGATTCTTGATAAACCTTGTATAATGGTTGCTTGCACATATCTAATAAAAAGTATAGCCTTGTGTACAAAGCTTTAAAGGGGGTGCAGCATGGCAAATACGGGTTGACGCCATCTACAACTTCTTTTAGGCAACTGCACCTTAAGGAATGGACTTGATTGACGGTCAGCAAGCGCTAGCATTCGCGAAACAGACCAAAGTTCTCCTCATGCTTCGGTTTTTGCATATGTTGCACGCACATGAATACTGCGGTCGCGTAGTCGTATTATACCCGATTGGTCCCGAGTCAGGCCACAGAAAAGACACATAGTCTCGTCGTGCTACAGTCCCTTTAAGAGGCAGGATTTATTCATTGTGTGGTGTCAATATTAAATTTACAAATAAGATCCATTGTTTTGTTGTTACAATCGGAGTATATCTTCACAAGGCCATAAGAGCTTTATATTGCCAATGGCAACGACCTTGAGGTCAGCTGTTGATTCGAGGCACTCACTTCTATGGTAATCTGTCGCCAAGATATATTATGTGTGTGCAATTAAATATGAAGTTATTGAAGTTGCCTAAAAACAAGTTTCTCATTTTTGTGTTTTACTTTGAAGTCAAAATAAGAAATGGTGATCAAAGAGATGAATTAATGTGATGGCCTCAAGAGTAGAAGGAAGGAATATAAGTGAACAGACAGTTCTAAAACCTGCAATAATTCTCAAATACGTCAAGGAACAAATTTGGGGAATAGGTGATTTCTCTCAAAAGATTTCATTGATTTTCGAATAACATAGAAAAGCTTGGAATCTCTAGCTTTAGGAAAAAAATTGAAAACAAAACAAATTAATTCTGGCAAATTATTACTGGTTTTATGCTGATCAGTCACAGCTTTCCACCTATCCAACAACATACCATTATATGTGGTGAGGCCATAAAGGGGGAAAGACTTGTCTTGGATACTGTACTGAAGCAAGAGTTTGACAATTATAGAATGACATTGATATCAATAGTGCATTGATTTTATTGAACAACTATAACATATACACATATACATTTCATATATTGCAACTTGTAATAGATATTAATACAGATTTTTTTTTTTACACATGATTGCTGTACTATACAAAGTGCCTTTTCATTTTCCATATTGCAACAATTTAACACATACAAATTTTTATTCTTTATATCCAAAATATACATCCATAAAGCCCCTCTAAAGTGTTGGAAGCCCCAAAAATTGATGGCAAAATTTCACTTAGATTGTATCGTAATGTTAAAGAGGATGTCATTTAATACACATTTCTGCAAGGATTTTCAAAACAAATGTAAGTCAAATATTGATACAATTTAGGTTTTCTGCATACAACACAAAACCCAAGTTATATATTCTTTTATCAATATTTGACTTCAAACACATTTTGGGGAGAAAGATCTTTGCAGAAGTGTGTCTTAAATGACATCCTCTTTCACATTATGATACAATTTATGTGGAATTTTGCCATCAAATTTTTGACAAATTATGGGCTCCCAATAGCATACATGCAAATATTTACCGGTATGTGTAAAATACACACAAACTTGACTTCCAAGCAACTCACTGGAAGTGTTTGTTTTCTATCAGCTCTCTTCAAACATATGTACATACATATAAATTCAAATTTGTTTCAGTACAGAGAAATAGAACATTATTCAAGTTTTGGATAGGAATAAAATTTCTATCAGGAGGGAGTCAATAATAAAATTAACAATAATTTGTTCTTTTATAGCACATTTCAGGACAAAAGGCCCTCTCAAAGCGCTTTACAATGTACGTTTACATAATTACAGAATTACAGACATTCATTTCTTAATAAATGCCAACACTACACTAAAAAAGGGAACAAAATACAAGCTATAGCAATTAACGGATAGGATGAACTAATTTACTTTAGCCATGAGACCAACACAGTCATCTAGGACCTCATCTTCTAGGTGTGAAGTAGCACACTTATTTGTATAACTCATGATCCCAATGCACAGAATATACTGTAGCTCTATCAATAAGCCTCTTTTCATCATTTGTATGCACAATTGAGTCAGACTAGATCGAAAGAGTTTAAGTGCAACAAGTTTCTACTCTGATGATTGGGGTTCCAATTCTAAAGTAGGGCCTACTGCTGAATTAAAACATAAACATAACATAATCATGATCGGATACAGTTTAACCCTGTTTTGTAATTAGATGTGTATGAAGCAAAACACATTCATCACTACCGCAACTAGTCGTTACTCATTTTCATTTTGTCACATACAGTTATTTTTTTTATGTACAACTCAAAACTGAAGAAGCAGTCCTACAAATAGTCACAAATATTGTTTTTAAAAAACTGTAAGATTACACCAATTCATGATTTTGGAATAATTGTAAAATGGAATGATTTAGTTTCAATATCACAACAAAATTTATGATCCATGTTTAAATGCACAGCACAATCCATTGCCTGTCCATAGGCAAGTAATGAAATTTCATCATTCTCTGTTTTATTTAGATATACTGTTTTATGAATTATTTCAATTCTAGTATCACAGCATTATAAAAATGTAATCAGTGCTTGGTCAATGTTGAAAAAGTCATGTGCATCTTTGACATTTAACTACAAACAAGCAGACATTTTGAAATCCTAACCAGAGCATCATAAAGCACAGCAGTAACTTCACATTCATGAATTGAGAGGACCATGTAAAGAAATGAATATAAAACAGTTGGATTCATATCTCTTTTAAAAGAAAATCTAGAGTATCGCAAAATGATCAAGATCTTGCCAAAAGTAATACAAATGCATCAAATATAACTTGTTGACTAAAAGATAAAAGAGCTGCCAACTTTCATCAGAATATTTCAGTAAAATGTAGCATTAACTGAAATCGGTATGCAGAAGGAATGGTTATTGTTGACATAAACACAGAAAATTTAACATTAAAAAAAGTCCAATATTTGCATGAAAACTTCAGTACAATTTAGTTTCATTAAATGCTGAAAATTTTACTACTCTTTTTGATCATGGTTATGCTAATAATTATCATAATTCATAACTGTGATTCTGATGAATGGAATAGTGATAACCATGTTTATGAAAAAGAAATTGAGTACTGTTGGATAGACATAATCCAACAATACTGATGCCTTGTAACAGAAACTACTTAAAATGGCCTCTTTGATTTCAGTCTTTCAACCTCTGTACCCATCTTCTCAGCATGAGTGACTTTCTAGTGCATAGATAATGTTAACTATCTTCTTGCGGAATAATATCCCAGGATAATTAAAAAGAAATGAAATGTGAATTGCAACCCCATTTACTTCATTATTTCTCATAGTGATCTTCCTGATATTGTGAAGCTTCCTCATCTACATCATCCTGTACAATGATAAAATAAAAAAATAAAAATTCAAATGTTGCCCCACAATATTAATATATTTCCACTCAGACTGTGCCTCATTTGCAAGTTCTACTACACGGCATGTATTTGATTTAAACAATAAGTATTTAAAAAATTGATTATCAAAAGTTCATTTTCTTATAAACAGCTCCCTATATATATATATATATATATATATATTTAGAAGGGAAGGGGAGGGTTACAGGTATGACATCATCACATCCATTTATTAATTTCAAGTGTGGTCACAATGTCTAGTGATGGAATGTTAGTAGTACTACAGACAGGCTGGTTGGCTGCACATTACTCTAATCTGCAGACCTGACGATGCCATTTCTCTAACAGGCAGAACACTTCATTAAAAACTAATACTTTACTGTGGGTTAGCAAATGTTGCCATCTTGAAAATAATATTGAATACAATTTCTGAATGAATTTCTCTTTGAAATACATTGTAATAGAAACTTTCTTTTTAGAGTCAAGGTAGTTTCCCTAGTCTTAATCTAATATTTGAACCTAATATTTTTAAACTAAAAAGAAAAAAAGAAGACCTTGTATTTTTCTTGAAAGACATGGGTTTATGAAAAGTCATGTTTGAAGAATAGGAACAATTCTTTATCCGGATGAGCAATGAAGTTGATTGTCTCAACAAGTAGTTTAAGTTGAGATATGTGTCTGTAAGCTTTGTGGAGTATTGTGGAGCATTGTGGTTGCAGATTGAATGAACTCACTCACCTCATCAGATAATTCAGGAAAGATTTCCTTGATGACAATATCCAAGAGAATGTATGAGAGCTACAAGAAAACGATTACAAGATCAATAGACATTTAGAGATTTCAGAAATTTGATTGCCCTGTCTTTATACAATATGCTCACAGAGGTCTGATCTTGAAGTCTAGCTGTGTTATTCTGCCCCCCCCCCCCCCCACAAAGCATTTTGTCTCTCTTGACAGAGGTGACTGAATGATAAATTTGTATGATCAAATTTGTCTAAATATTTTCAACACACAGAATGAATCATTTGACTTGTTTTCAAATATACAAATTCAAATTCTTTTATTTCACATCCCTTATAAAATACAATGTATGCAAAAATGAAGAACATTGAACAGAAAATAGACAAATGATACAAGTGAGAAAAGATGCATGTACTGTGATGGAATGGATGTGAGGGAGTAGCAAAGGCCATTGACCTGTCAAGGATTCTCCCCATATTAACAATCATCACTGTCACAAATAAAGCATTATAATTTATAATTTCTTATCCATTAATATGTATATGACACATTACTTTTCACATCTTAAAAACTTTAGCCAGCATCCCAGTTTCAGGCAAAGAAGTACTGCAAAAATGACAGGAGCTTTTGTACTACACGATTGAAAGAGAAGAAGTATTGCGCACCACAAGCACTCACCTGTTTGTTGAGCTTGGGATATTGCAGAGCATCAAAGACTATCTTACATCCATCATAAAACTTCTCTTCTCCAAGAACCTTGGGTACTATACCTAGAGAAGAAAACAGTAATCATTGAATTCATGTTGGTCTAATATGCAAACTATTTTGTGCACATATGCTAAGCTACTTTTTCAGCAAGCTAATTTTCGAACAGCGGAATATGGAAATACAGAATATTGATATGTTACATTACATTGTAAATTGACTAATATGTTTCCAAACAGAAAATTGATTTGTTACATTACATTGTAAAGTGATTTTATGTTTATAAACAGAATATTAATGTACATCAATGACGTTTAATAAATACAATACATACATACATACATACATCTTTGCTTCATCAACACAGGATTTATCAGCAGCATAAAAGAAACTCTATCCTTTGGGTAGATGTTCAAGACCATTAAGAGTTAGTATTTCTTACTTGAAATGTTTATACCATACTGTTTCTTACAGTGTAAGTATTTGTATGATACTCATACATGTATTTATTAAAATCACAAGTCATGTAGTACACCACTGATCAGTTAGAATACAGTACATCTTACTTGGGAAGAATTTGAGCATTTGTTGGAAAGCAAACTCTTTCCTCTCAAGCTTCTGTGCATCCGTCCTGGGTGGGTCATCATCAAAGAAAAGAACATCTGAAATAGACAAGTAAATTTACAATCAGTGTATTAAGTTGAATCCTGAGATGATTCCTTGTCCAATTCCCACACAAAAATACACGAATGTATGTCACTTTGTGGGTAACTGGGTTGTTCTAATAGCTTGCATGAGGCTGCTACCGTACAGTATAGGTCAACTGATGGGTAATATTGCAAAAGCAGAAGTGCTTGCCTTGTTTTTCATTAGAACACTTCAAAGATGTGTCCGCTAGATCACAAAAACTGACAGCCCTCTTTAAAATAAAAACACGTAGCGACTATAATGGCTGACAACAAGAAGATAAAACAATCATGTTGTTTAAAAATAACTCTCGCAAATATCTTACACCTTATGTAAATCTACAATTAAAAAACAAAAATCTTGACAAATTGTTGATATTTTGGTAAAAGTTACAAAAATGTAACACTTCATATATGTGGTAGTTTGAAGTCAGAGAGCCCATGTGCCCAATGTGAAATCAATGAGCCCAATGTATAATTCAAAGAGACTAATCTATGTAAACTATAGGAGATGAGACTCGGCATACCTCTGAGTAGATACATGATATGCTCCACCATCTGCTCACTCTTCAACATCTCCGTCTTTGTATTGATGAAACTAGACAAGGCAAAGGTCAAATGGTCATTTATCATCATAGTGGAATATAAAGAATCTTTTCATCAATAATCTCATTTTCCTCTAGTTAATAATTGCCTTTCAATTATCTTCTAGTAAATCATGTTGACCAATAACACTTTATTTTTTTTCTTAACATGTACGGTAGTATAAATTTTGCTAAAATCTTGAAATAAGCTGATAGTCATTGAGTGATATTTAGGCAAGAAATGAAACAATAAAAAGTTTTTAAAAATAATAGAAAAATGTAGAAAATAAAGATAACAGAAAAAGAGGGAAAAAGAGAGGAGGATAAGGAGAAATACAGTTAAAGGAGGATGACAATTGTACTAGAGCATAGATGAAAAGAAAGGGAAAAGGCATAGAGAGGGTGAGTGCTAGAAAGATTGAGAGAGAGAGAGGGACAGAGAGAGAGAGAGAGAGAGAGCAAACAAGAGTTTCCATACTAATCCAAATATGTTTCCAGTGAGTTTCCAAATATCTTTGCAAAGGTTACAATCATCTGATGCATCCATACAGGTACATCGAAGACAGAGCGAGCTGTAATGAAAAAAATAATTAAAGACAAGTAAAAAAGTAAACCAAGAGAAAACATTTTCATCATTACATAATCAGGGGTGATAGTGAGCACTAAAAAAAAAGTTTTTTTTCCCCCAACCACGACCCCCTTGAAATAAAAAAGAGGATTCGAGCTCCGAGCTACTCACCCAAGTACAAGACATACTGAATGATTCCATTGAGCTGCATGTAGCTGGCTTCCGGGTTGGTCCAAGGTTCTTTCAGGTTCGGTCTATCCAACTCCTGACCAGCATTGTTCTCAAACAGGAGACTCGATAGCTAGAGAGAGAGAGAGGGCGAGACAGAGAGAGAGAGAGGGAGAGAGAGAAAGAATGATAATATACATGCAATTTCTAGAATATACATTTGTATTTGAATCTACTTACATGTAATTGTGTAGCATTCACTTGCCAATGAAATCAACAACCATGATAAGACATCAAATTCCCATCTTTCCTTTCGTATTTCTCTTTTTTGTTTATATCGTGGGCTGTAGTCTTTTAGCCTATCCTTAACTTTCTTCATTCCTGAATTTTCTTATGTATTTCTATGTTTTGTCTATATCGTGGGCTGTAGTCTTTCAGCCTATCCTTAAACTTTCTTCATTCCTGAATTTTCTTATGTATTTCTATGTTTTATCTATATCGTGGGCCGTAGTCTTTTAGCCTATCCTTAACTTTCTTCATTCCTGAATTTCTATGTTTTGTCTGTCTCTTTGTTTTGTCCGTCTCCTGGGATCCCCCCCCAACCCCCCCCCCCCCCCCCCCCCCCCCCGTCACTCTTAGCTGGTATCAGAACCCTTACCATTTCTTTCTCCGTCAAATCTGGATCCGTCTCATCCTCCTCAGCACTACAAGCAAACAAAAAGAAAGAACATAATCTAAATCATGACAAGTATAAGGACATGGATATGACTAATGCTCTGTATAAGAATCTATAAGCTTTCATTACTGCATTATATCTAAGTTACAACATGAAAATAGAGAATTCAACAAACTTTATCTCGGATTCCATTACTAGATATTTCTGATGCAAGTAGCGTTCATAAATTGATGTAAAAATTAATTGATGAATTTTATGTATTGAAATACTTGTATCATTGTGATATTCACCATTGAGATATTCAGCGGAGACCCAACATTTATATTGTAGCATTTTAGATTAAATAATGTCAACATCAAATTTTCTAGAAAATGTTAGACTCCCAGAACTGACCAAACTGCCAATTTGAGACTCTCATAGACTTAGTGATCTCATATTTCAAACATTCATAACTTCCATATTATTGGTCTGATTCATTTCAAACTTTTGACATGCTGTTTATGATATTTATTACAAGTTATTACAAGGGTGGGATTGCTCTTTAAGGACTTAGGGGTGAAGTTTCCTTATATAAAAGTTTAGCTACTATTTATGAAATTGAGCAATGTTTTGACCAATCAGACTTTTAGCAACACTGGTACAGTCACTTGGACAACGCATCAATAGTCAGGATTTGGCTCATAAAACTTGATTTGAGATAACTTGGATGCGTGCTTACCTTGCTTTAGGTCTAGCAGCTTCCACAGAAGCCAGGAATGTCACCAAGAAACGCTCTAGATGCTGTCCTCTCTACCAAACAACAAAACCAAATGAAACTACAATGTATTAGCAACTAGTTTGAATGCAAGGTATCCTTTCTAACTATTAATTAAGAGTAAATTAAAATTTCTTTTACTTTTTTTTCTAATGAATAAACAACTGAATAGAGCAAATTATCCATAAATCATGGGCAGAGTATGTATGTGTGTACAGTGAGAAAACTTAAATCATGAATTATTATTGGAAAAATGCATTCCTTTCTAGGGGGAAACAAAGTGCCTTTAAAAAGAGCTTTGCTTCTTGATAATACGGTAAACATAACCTGTCAAATATATTTGCTATTGCCTCTTGACAATCAGAGCTGACGATTAAAGCACTCACTACTGATTGGATCAGTAGAAAGCCTTTGGCTTTCCTAGCTGTCTCCACATTCATATGACATGTTTGTTGTTGTTATATTCTATTGTAAAAGATTTTGTTTAACTTGTACACTATGTTTTGTATTTTAAATGTTTTTATGACGTTTTATGGTGAATGAAATAAAGATCAATTCAATTCAACCTTATTCCAACAGGAAGAAATTATTCTATCACAAACATCACAGAATAGATCAGTCTACATTGACCTAAGTTTACTTGCATGATCGTCTTACTTCCAACTACATACAGATTCAATTTCCTGAATTAGAAAGCAATTCAAGGGTTCAGTGACACAAAGACGTAACTCCATATTTTACCAAAATGAGTATTTGATATCAAAATGTTCAGGAAAATGTGGCTTTCCAGGAAACACAAAGACTTAACTCCACCCAAAACCCTGTTGAAGTCAATGACTAGTGAAACATAGACTTAACTCCTTGACACATAAACCACCTTTTTCTCAAAATGGCCAAAATGGAGTTACGTCTTTGTGTCACTGACCCCTCTATTAAGTAATCCTACCTCTTTGATGACCTTGGTGGAGACTGAACGGACAAACTTCCCTGCAAGTTATATCAATAGGAAAATAAACATTACCATCTTCAATTTGGAAGCACATTAATATGCGAAAGATTAAATTTGAAATGATATCACTCACAAATCCAATAAATTATTCATACCCCTTGTAAATCTCATGCTTTTGTTTTTTTCGTAAACCCAATAATGAAAGGTGGACTGATTTAATAAATAAAGGCCTTTGTAGATTACTTTTCAGATGCATAAAGCTTTAACGTGTCACAATCTCAAGAAACATATATTAGGACAAATCAATTTACACATACTTCACAAAATTCCAAAAACTTGGTAAGGGTATGAATGATTTAGTTGTTAGCTGTATGTGAACCATACCTAGATTGA